CTCCTACATTAATACAGTGCTTCTGCATTGATTTCAAATCTCTATATTTCCAGCTGTTGAGAGGGGCATGAAACACTTGGTTTTCACTATTGCATGCATTAAAACAAAACTAACAAAGAAACAAAAATCACGTCTTTCTATTCAGATCTTTTGGAACTTGAGGAATTATAGGAAATTAAATAAAAAAACAATAAAACATTACGCATGTGAAACGTGTGTTCGCGAAAAAGAAAAATCAGTATATACACACACACGCACATAGCACAATTCACCACGTATTGCATGTAAATTTGTTGCGCTGATGAAAAAAGTATGTACTTTACTTCAACACTGTTATACATGTGAAATTGTTACATTATTTAAAAACTTAGTGTACCACAACTCGTCATTTTGTGACGTATATTCCTAGTATATTTGTTTGTTTGTACTTATGCACAAAGCTACACAATAGCTTACCACGGGTATCGAAACCCGGTTTCTAGCGTTATAAGTCCGCAGACATGCCGCTGTGCTGCTGGGGGCTCCTGGTATATTGATGTGAAGCTCATTACTTTGTCACGGGGCTGACAATTCCCATGTGTTATTACTACTATAAATATTACTTTCTTATTAAGCAGAATGTTATATGTATAAACAACATCTAAAATTAAATCAACATTCAAAATATTGTTAGGACTTCTAGCGTTATTAATTAAAATATAGTACGTTAACTTAATACCTAAATTATATTTCTTTAATTTTTCACAGGTTTTGTAAATGCGACATTAAAAATGGGGGCTTTTTGAAATCGTATAAAAAAAAGAGATTTTTTGGCGATTCGAAATAATAATTTTGATTTTTTTCATTTTTTTTTATTAGGTTAATGTTTCCACCATTTTCTGTGATGTCACGTGCTGTAGTTCAACGAAAGCAGATTTTATAATTTGATTATTTGCAGAAACTGTTCAAATCGATCCAAGTTCACGTATTTCATTAAACATTCGTAGACCCAAATTTGTAAATATTTTATTAATTTCACCACACAGCAATGAAAACTTACCTTTTACTTATTACAAGATAAGGAGGTGTCAAATTGAAATTAATGTGGTTCAATAGTGTTCTTATTATTTTCTTTCTTTCTTTGCAGATATACTTTGATTCTTACTTTAATCTCTTAACATTCATAATTAACATCATAGGGGCCATAAACGTCAGGGATGCAATGTATAGGTCACAAATACAGTGTAAAGTCACCCATTTTAGATTAGAAAATATACGCTATGACATGATTCGTAAACAACAACAAAAATGGCACCGAGACTCGTATGATAGATCATAAGTGTGACTAAACTCACTAATGGTTGTATATTAAACCAGATAGTAGTCTGTGCAATATCACCAATTTTTTTCACCTTAAATATGTTGTTGTATCGTTACAAAATGATCCTTCTACAGCAATATAAATTGTTCCAATGCATATTGTGTCGCCAAGTCGCGGCTGTTAATCTGGATAATAGCCAAATATATCAGTCAAGCAGGCGCCAATCGAGCCGCGAACTTACAGATTGCTTTGAGAGGTCATCTTTCCGCTGCTGTATCGAAGTGGATCAGTTGCTTGTATTCTACAGTTAGCTTTAGGGGTTCGAGTGGGATGTAAGGAGTAGTTTTGGGGCCTGTTTTATCTCATTCAAAGGGTTCTAAATCACGATCTTTGCCCAGATCTGAAGTTTTCGTCCTAACTTATTTAGGAGAAAGTATGCAGTTCGTTTTTACGTGTCTGGACAAATGAATCTGAGTGTTAAAACCACATTTTGAACATTTCCAACATATATTTTATATTGTCTTACACATGAATAGGAATAAATATTTTTGAGCTTAAAATTACGCTATAAAAATTGGAATATATGTTTTTAGGCTATTACATGTTCGTGTAAACATTTATCAAAAAGCACATACTTGTAAAATAAATATATTTATCGCAAGTAATTTAGTAACAGAATCATGATATTGGTGTTCTTAAAACACCATGTTTTGTTTGATATAACATTTAAGGTGAAACAGTTCTAAATGTTGCAAACCTATCTTGCAAGACAATTAATTATTGTTAATCAGAACAGAAAAGCGACAGAGTTATCTAAAGCGCATGCGTGGTATGGTGTTTCTGTTCTTTTAGAGAAGGATAATAAAATTTGAAAAATAATTATGTGTTGTTGTTGTTTTTCCACTAATTAAAGCTTCAGATAATTTGTTGTTGTTCCATTTCAAAGCATAATCAACTGTGTCTTACATACTGGAAACCACCGAATTATAAAACAGTTTTGCGTGATCTGCTCTTCTTATACCCTTCCAAGTGAAAACAAGTTTGACAATGTTTATAACCTACAGCAATTTTCTTTTGTTCTTGTAATTACATATATTTGCGGATATGTTTTATTAGTGGTTGTTTTGAGCTTAAACTTAGTTTCGGTAACAATTCAACCATCTTTTGGTTAGTATTTTTACCCACATCGCTAAGTGATTGATCAGTAATAGTTAGTTACCGCTGTAGTAGCGTCGTAACAGATAGCCTCCCACCAGGGAAGCAACTGTGACACATTAGCGTTAGCAGTGTTAATTAAATACCGTTTCTGAAGTGTATTCCATATTCAGTGACATACAGTGCTTTAAAACTAAACTTTATAAAACTACAATAAACAAAAACAAACTAAGATATAAGCAAATACTCATTTTACCCGTCGGTCTCTTGTCGAGGCTATCTATTACGTAATTTTATTGCATTGATTACCATTTAGTGCTTACTGAACATAGTTCTGTGTTACCGACTTGAGAGAGCAATCAGCGCCATCTGTTCATTAGTAGAGATTCTCAATACAATAAATAATTCAACATAAGCGAATTAAATAAATCACTGAACTCCTAAAATATATGATCTTTTATGTATGCAAGAAATTTTATAGTTTTCAAGTTAAACCACTCATATTAGTTTAGTTTTACTTCCTCACTTAACTTAATTCAGGTTTTGTCTATTGAAATCATGTCTGTTGTTCGCATAATTTGTTTTTCTATTCCCTGCCGAATTTTTCTTTATCTTAACTCTAGAATTATCGATGGCGACACATCTCATCGTGTTTTTAAACACATTTTTCTTCAGAAAAAATAAATAGATAAATAAAACCCAAATGTTTCAGATTCATTAAACTAGCAAACTTGTATATCGAGATGTGGTGTTAACTAACCCTAAAGAGTTTTAAAGGTTTATTTTGAAACTGTAAATTTCAGTTTCACCTTTAGAAAAATGTTACTTGCTTTTTAAAATTATTATATTTTAAGGCATTTATTCTTGAAGCCCATTGATTGTTATCAAAATAACAAAATTATAAGTAAACAAGTTTCATATTTCCGTGTAAGTCTTAGAATTTTTGCGTGAAGTTGTTTGGTTTCCCTGCTACATACTGTGACAGGAAAAAAATGTTTTCGTATATAAATAACAAGATTAACACTCTGTTTAAGTTTAAAATGGCCGCCCACCTCCTTTCCACTCAGTGTATATTCTCATGGTTTGGTACCTCCATGGTCACGTCCGTGATAGATTGCCTTAAAAGCTGCACCCACATGGTTATTGTATTCCTTGATTGATTACCTGAGGTGATTGGCAGAAACTGTGTGACCGGCGCCTCTGAAAGTCCTATATTGCCGCCTTTCGAACCTAGGCAGCTTTAAACCCGCACTTAAAGACTCTCCTGATGAGATTACCAGACACCTCAGCTTTTGTTAAATGAATATCTCACAAACTAGCTTGAGATCAGAACTTTGAGAATTTCAGTTATTATTCTTATCACGCTGTATCCTTGAAGAGAATTGGAGAGTCTGGAACGTGGTAAATAGTGTTCTTATCAAGGAAGTTTGTAGTGCAAGCCACCGGAAGTCTTCTTTTCACTTGCTACACCGAACCAGGGCTAGTAACATAACATTGTTTTCACTATGGTGGCCTGTCAACTGGATTATAACTTGTTTGTGACCAAACCGCCAAGTGGTTCATTGGGTTCTTTTATAGAGTATTATTGGGGGAGGGATGTGTATCGTTGCCTGATTGACACATTGTGTCTTGTTCACTGAAATATACGACGTACTTGTGAAAGAGATGGTCAACAATATATAAAACATAATCTTGTTATTTACAGCACAGAAACTTTACATCATTTTCAAATTAATCTCAGTTAAATTTAAAATGATTTTTACAGGATGACTGAAATAGGTTTTAAAAAGTTCCTAAAACTATATTCAAACGAACTTCTTAAGTTTGTTCAACAAATAATTATAAACATCAAATCCGCTTGTAACTGTTGAACCAGTAATATAACTCTTTGACTCACCGAAACTCTCATATCAAATAATGCTTGGTGTGGTTTGTTTTGAATTTCGCGCAAAGCTGCACGAGGGTCATCTGCGCTAGCCGTCCCTAATTTAGCTGTGAAAGTCTAGCGGGAAGGCAACTAACCATCACCACCCACCGCCAACTCTTGGTCTACTCTTTTACCAACAAATATTGGGATTGACCGCACATTATAACGCCCCCTACGGCTATAAGGGCGAACATGTTTGGTGGGACGGGGATCCGAACACTCAAATATTGCTATCAAAGAGTCCCCCGCTCGGTAGACACAGTAGATAGCCCGATGTGGTTTTGCTGTAAGAGAAAGACACACGCTATCAAAGCTTTGCTTTAATCTTAACCTGGAGGTCATGAGGTGAGAAGACGCTCATAATAGATATTGATGAATAAGAATGAAAACATGAACTTACCTGCATTAGGTGTGGTTAAGATTAATTCCTTGAAGATTTTAAGTATATCGAAGACCTTGAGCTACAAAGTGTCAGCATAATACAAATTCCAATATAACAGGTTAACTCGATTTCGAGGATATCTCAGAATAATCATTCATCTCCTAAATGCAGTTTCACTGAAATTAGCAGTTAACTCAAACTTAGATTTTATTGATTTTGATATTTTATTCTTACAGGCTGCAAATCCAGATGAACTGAGCTTTTTAGAACAGGAAGAACTTTGGATTATCGGAGAAGGAGACGGTGATGGCTGGGTAAAAGTAAGGTTTACTGCGTTTACAAAGTAAAAAACGATGAAATCTGATTCAAAAAATGGCGCAAAAGTCAGTTAATCTATAAAGCTTAACAGTCACTTTATGTAACAATAATAATAACCTTGGTGAGGTCGGTAGTGGACTGGCATTTGTTTGAACACTAGAAAATCACTTAAGGATTGGCCCACCACCACTGAGATCGGCTCGGAAGAGGGAGGGGGGGGGGACGTTGATAGTTCCTTGGAACTTGTAACAACTTGCGATTTTACAAATTTAGACTGTTGAGTTGTATAAATAGACTTCATTTTTGGAACTTGGGACCTGCCCATCAGAAAAATTTCCCCATAACCCGTATGGTCAACCTGTTTCTAGACTAGAAGCAAAATAATTTGGACTTTATGGCCTTAATATATTAATAAAAAAATGTAATCCTCTATTTTATGGTTGGTTGTACAACTTGATCTGTTCACCAATATATATGTATAATCACAATACATTGTAAAAATAACAACAATAAAAAAAACATTTTTCGGTAATTTTATAATTACGAGTTCGAAGTTCTCAATGCTACAATGAACTAATCTTCATAAGCTTGAAGACCAAAATCATTAGGGTGCCCTAAGCTCTGTAAACTTCATTGGTTTGTCATCCACATAGATTGATACTAACAGTAGCTTCTCTTTGAAACAAAAAAAGGGGGACGACCATATCTGAAAACACGTGGTTTATTATAACCATGCATCATAAAAAACTTTCCAATAGCTAAGATTGATCGGATGTCTTTTTTTCCCTTGCGAATTGGAAAACAAGAGTTTTGGAGATTGATTTTGTTACACATACAAGGAAACGTTTAATTAAAAATTCTGGACCAAGTAGTAGAAACATCCAAAATATCTTTATATCAATATAGCCATCCAGCGTACACCTTCTAATGTTTATATCCAAACTGAGATCTTTCTTATGATCCCCCCCCCCCACCTTTGAGACATCCCCATAGTCTACATATTCCTTTAATCTTATTTCCCGAAGCAACCAATCCTCTTATACCAGACTGTTTCGTTATGCACTTTCTAGGCCATAATTTTCCAATGATTATCTGTAATCTTTCTTGAACTTTTCTAAGGCACTGAGTCCTGCTCTTTTGCTCGTACGTTTCCTGTTTTTTTTCTTCCCGTTTCTACTATTGTGCGCTTCGTTTTTACTTTCTTTTCCTTATCTGTCTGCGCCAGTTGACAACCTGGACCGATAACGTTAATGCGATATGTATATATATATACATACATACACGAACAAGGTAAAGTAGAAAGTAAGGTTTTTATATATACAAATGGCAGTGGTGTTTAATCTAAGTTTCATTATGTATTACATGCCTTTTGTTATTCCTATTAAAATCTACAAATACTTTCCGTGAACCCGAAGTCATGCTAATATACAGCAATTCGAACTTTATTTATAAAGTTTATTTTAAAATAGTTCATAAATTCTTAATCGTCCTAACTTTATGATGTCTGTTCGCGCATTACTAACATTGAAAATATTTTTCCTTCTAGGCACGAAACTACAGAGACGAAGAAGGCTATATCCCCCAGAACTACGTAGAAATTGCTGATGGCCAAAACCTTGTGTCATCTATATTTATGGCACCCTCGTCATTCGCATTTGTTGATTTCGGTCAGTCTGACAAACGTGGTGAAGGTTTCGTTTCGGAATCATTTGTTCCTGGAGCGGAGATTAACGACAGTTTGCAACTGCCCTGTGGTAATATTATTATGTTTTACAGGACTAATAATAGAAAATGTTTAACATGCTACTTAAAACCTCGATGTCGTAGTTGGGTTACATCTTTTTTTGGATTTAATATCTTCATACCCCCGGTGGGACAGCTGTAAATTTACAGACTTAAACGCTAAAATCCGGTGGATACAACAGATAGCTCAATGTGGCTTTGCTATAAAACAATCAAAATTTAATATTTTTATAGGTATTAGTTTTTCACAAGTTTACTTAAAACATCTGGATAACTCTTATTAATCAAATAAATGTGTGACTAGGACACTACTACGCTCGGAATGAAATTGTGACGTTATTTTGAGAAAATATCGGATTATTGGATTATAAAAACAACGCGACTGTTACTGTCAGATTTACAGAATTTTGACATCTTGTTTCTTTGTTGTAGATAAGTTCTGTCGGGCACTGTATGATTATGAAGCATCGGGTTATTGGGTTATAAGAACAACGCGAGTGTAACTGTAAGACTTACAGAATTTTAACATCTTGTTTCTTTGTTGCAGATAAGTTCTGTCAGACACTGTATCAGGTTATTGGGTTATAGGAACAACGCGAGTGTGACTGTCAGACTTATAGAATTTTAACATATTGTTTCTTTGTTGCAGATAAATTCTGTCAGGCACTGTATGATTACGAAGCAACGTGCGACGAAGAACTTACCTTCATGGAGGGCCAGGTCATCCGGATCTTGAAGAAAGTGGTCCATGATGTAGACGACGGATGGTGGGAGGGCGAGGTCGACGGAAATATTGGCATTTTCCCATCGTTGGTCGTCAAAGAGATCAAAACAAGCGGGGAATCGCAGACTCCTAGTGTAAGTTACAACAATTTGTATATAGTAAACAAGATATTTCAGATTTTCCTTTAACGCAAGGTAAAAAGGAAAATAAGATATGAGAGTACGACAGAGAATGCAGCGTCTCATGATATACTTTTTTGTCACCTGAAAGTAGGCTCGTTGACACACCATCTGATGCTTGTGCATAACTCTATCATCACTGGATTAAATAGCTTCTGATGATGATTGTATCAAACTTGAAAAAAAAAGTTCGTTGACACACATCTGATGCTTGTGCATAACTCTATCATCACTGGATTAAATAGCTTCTG